TGGCCATTTTCAATGGACTGTGACTACATATAAACCCTTTCCTGCCCAAGTAGGTCCTGGTCATGGCCTTTATCACAGCAGTAGAAAGCAAACTAGAACAGCAGGTAAAAGTGCTCGCTGCAGACCCTGATGACTTCCGTTTGATCCCAGACCCCACACACAGTTCCTACAAGTTGTCCTCTGACTTCCACAAGCACTCCATAGTAGATACACATTAAGCAAATAAAGAATGTAATTAAAAAATTTAATAAGCCCTCAAGTGTGAAATTGATTTTTACTGAAGGAGGAGGGGCACAAGAAGGCCCATGCACATGGGAACTTCTAGTTCCTGTTGCTCTGATGTGGTCTCCGGAAGCATTACGGGGCTGCCTATCAGAAGCTGAGCCAGAAACAGTTTTAACACACACACCTGCCAGGGTTCTAAAGGACAAGGCCGACAGCAGCTCAGAGCAAGTTTAAAACATTGCCATTTGCCTGGTTGAGGGCTGGACAGTGACAGTAGCAGTTGGTGAGGAGTCTCAAAATACAGAAGGCAGTTAGGAGTCTCTGTTTACCAGGTTGTTTTTAGCAGTCCAGAAGGCAGGCTGGGGGCGTCCGTAACTCCAGGCAGTTTCCAGGTACTGGATCCAATCAGCACAGAATGCCGAGCATCTCAAATTATTTTTGCCTTGAAAACAAGCCCTGGTGACACCACTCTATCTGCTGCTATCACAGTGGACATATGTCACTAGACATTTACCCAGATATATAGGATGTACTCCTTAACAGTGTACCCCAAAGTGCAATAATGATGTGTTAATGTGGATTTGTCTCTGGTACCAGACATACTGCTATGGTAAGTGATGCTGGTAATGGGGAGACTGTGTGTAGGCAGGGGTGAAATGGAGTGATGGGAAACCTATAAATTTCCAGCTTGATTTTCCTGTGAACCCTGAACAGTCCTGTGTGTGTATATGTGAGTACTCTGTGTGTGCATGTATGTATTGTGTGCATGTATATGTATGTATTGTGTGCATGTTTGTGGGTCAAATATCATTATCCAGTATCTTCCTCAATAACTTTCCATCTTATTTTTTGAGGCAAGGTCTCACCGAACCTAGAACTCACCAATTCAGCTGGACTGGCTGTCCAGCAAGGTCCAGGGATCCTTCTGCCTTTGCCCCCCAAGCACTGGGATTACAGATACCTGCCTTAAACTTGGGTTTTAAAATGGGCATTAAGTGTGGGTCCTGGTGTTTGCACAACAAGCACATCACTAGCGGAGCTGCCTCCCAAACTAACCCCCCCAAAAATTAAAGGTAATTCTATCCAGGCATGACGATGCATGCCTGCAGTACTAGCACTCAGAAGGCTGAAGCAGGGGAACTGTGAGAAGGCTAGCCTCAGTAAGAATGGCTAAAAGCAAAAAGCCCTCTGCATCTGGGTTCAGACATCAGCAGGGTGGCCTTGGCTGTTCACTTCATGAGAGGAAGGAGGTAAGGATGGGGAGGGAAGGAAGAAGTGATTGGGAAATAGAGAATGGAAGGAGGAAGGTGAAGAAGGAGGAAGGAAGGAAAGGAGGGAAGGATGTAGTGATATATTATTTATGATTTATTAACGCTTGCCTGAAGATTCAGAAAGCAAAGTCAGCCACAAGCTAAAGAAGCCAGGCACACACCTTTAATTCCAGCAGCCAGAAGCTAGGAGGAGGTGGTACACACCTTTAATCCTAGGATTCAGGATCAAGAGGTAAACATATGTCTGTGAGTTCAATGCCACCTAGATCTACACAAGATTGACCCAGTCCTAAAGAGAAACAACTCACACAAGGATGATCAGCGCCTGGGATCACCTACCTTTAATCCCAGCATTAGGGGGTATATAAGACGGCAGGGAGGTCAGTATCAGGCATTCATTCTCCAGCCACATTGAAGACTAGGAATGCCCCAGCCTTATTAGAGGTAAGAGCCCTCTGGTAACTTGGCTGCTTTGCTTCCCTGATCTTCATCTTGAAGCTTGAACCCCAGTGCCTGTCTCTGAGTCTTTTATTTATTGTGTTACAGGGGGAAGCAAACTTCAGCACTGTACAGGAGGACCACGCTGAAAGGAAGCGCTGAACAAGACCTGCAGGTGACGGGTGTGGGTGCCAAAGAGATTCCCTGCATCTCCAGGGTCTTGGACAAAAAAATAGAGTTTGGAAAAAAAGAATGGAGTTTGGGTTTGGCAAGATGGAATGTTCCCCACTCCCCCAACTGCAAACTTCTGAATGACCGAGGTAGGGTAATTCTTTGAATGCCAAGTGTCATCAGCTATTACAGAAGGCACAGAAAGTTCCCAACATAGTGGCGATGCGTAAGGGGAGACCTGCCTGTGCCTTGCCTGCTCTCTTCTTGTTCTCCCTGCTTCAGCACCAAGGCTTGTGTCCAGATGCTAACTCCCACCCTGGGTGTTGTAACGAGTACGGTTTTTCCGCCCGTCGCCTGGTATCGTCCTGCCACCGCGCCAGCCCCAAATAATACACAGAGACTCTGTATTTGATACAATGCTGTTGGCCCCGTTACTTGTTTCTTATCGGCTAGCTCTGCCTTAATTATTAACCCATTTGTGTTAATCTATGTATTTCCACGTGGTCTTCTTACCCCGAGCCAGCTGCCGCATACCGCTCTCTCCGGGCTCTCCATTTTCACTCCTCCTTCTTACAGGGTGTCAGTACTCACTCTCTCTCTCTCTCTCTCTCTCTCTCTCTCTCTCTCTCTCTCTCTCTCTCTCTCTCTCTGTTTTATTGAGACGGGTTTCTCTGTGTAACTTTGTAGACCAGGCAGGCCTTGAACTCACAGAGATCTACCTGCCTCTGCCTCCCGAGTGTTGGGATTAAAGGCGCGTGCCACCATTGCCTGACTTGTCAGAGGTCTCTTATCAACTAGGACCACAGTCCAAAATTGCCATGGAATTAAGCTCACTTAACAGTTCTGTGGATGAACAGTACTGGGCTCCTGTGTGTGTGCCTTCCACAAACTGCCAGGTCCCTGGAAGATCAGACAATGACTTGTTGTGTTGACCTGTCCATCACACACCCTTCCTGACTTTCCAAATCCCTCCTGCTTTTCCCATTTGGTGATATTTCCCTGATATGTGACCAGCCGTGCTTCAGGGCCTTCTTCATGGGGAATTCATATGAAGAAAGGGGTAGACCTTCATCTTGGAAGGCAAACACAATCACACAGATGACAGGACAGTCCTGTCCCCATGCTGGAAACCTGTATACTGCTGGGATATGACTTAGCTCAGTAGGAGAGGGTATACTCAGCATGCACAGTGCTGGTCCAATCCCTAGCACATAACTCACCATAAACCAACCAACCTGCCGCCCCGAAGGCAGCCGTGAGTCACTGAATTCTTGATCAAGATTGCACAGCTTTGAGATGCCCCAAGCATGTTCATTTACAACTACCCTGACAGTATCTCCTTGTGCTGGGCCATCCTGCAGTCCTCACCTGTGCAGTGCATGCCTCTTCCCGGCTCTGCCTTCCCCTTCCCTGCCAGCTCTCTGTCCACAGAGGGTGCACTCAGCAGTGCTCAACAGCCTCTTGGAGTCACAGCTCAGCCTGTGGCCTTACAATGGCTTCCCCAGCAGCCAATCACATCCCCCTTCCGGCTGGACATGGGGAAGGAGGCGATCACCACACAGTTTGCCTGAGAATGGCCATGCATCATCGGTCCCACTGCCCCCATTTTTGTTTTTTGTGTTTTCTTCCAAGTCACTTTCTAAAAGTCAAAATGATTTTTATCTTTATACCCTGATGAAACTGTTCAGCATTGGTGGCAAAAGCATCTCTAGAGTGGTGGTGCCATAAATCTGTGTATATGGTAAGATTTTGCAGAACTGCGGAGGAAGAGATGCCCCATGAGAGTCCTTGCTTCATAAGCATGGTGATCTGAGCTTGGATTCCAGAACCCACCAAGAAAACAGGCATAGATATGCATATATGGATACACACAGCCCCTGTGGGGACAGAGGCAGGAGGATTGCTGGAGCTTGCTGGCCTCCAGTCTATTCTAGGTTCAGTGAGAGCCGCTGACTCAAAGAAGTAAGGCCAAGTGTGATAGAGCAGGACACATGACACCTTTCTCTGGCCTTCACACACAAATGCACATCCATATACCTTACATACTCCACATACATCCCCATACACAAAGAGTGAAAAGATTTCACAGAACTATACATGCACACATTCTCTCTCTCTGTATTTCTCTCTCTCTCACACACACACACACACATACACATGCATGCCCATGCACACACACACACACACACACACACACGCACGCGCCTGTGCACGCTCAAATGCATATGCACACACACTCACACATGCATGCCCATGTACACACATACATGTACATACACATTCTCTCTCTCTCACACACACACACTCACACATGCATGCCCATGCACGCACATATGGGTACATACACATTCTCTCTCTCCCTTTCTCTCTCTCTCTCTCCTTCTCACACAGACACACACTCACACACTCCACATACACACACAGCCATGCCTATGCATGCCCATGCACGCAAACACACACACACACACACACACACACACACACACAGGGTGGAATCTGAACTTGGTCTACTCTAGTTCATGGTGTCTTATTGTGCTATATCCTATATTCTCTGGGCTGTAAGACACTGTTCTGGGGACAGGGAAGAAGAGAACAATTGAAAATCTATGCTGTTTTTGAAACTTCATGGGAGTATAACTATTCCAAAATAAAAACAACTTAAATATAAAATAATTTTTTTTTCTCTTTGGCTTTTTTGACACAGATCTCAAGTAGTCCAGGCTATCCTCAGATTCATTACATAGCTAAGGGTGACCCTGAACTTCTGATCCTCATTGCAGGACTGTATCACCATACCAGCTTCAAAAGAAAAAATTAAATAGTAAAATACGTTAAATAACAATCATAAGAAGGAAAGAATCCCCAGGAGGTGACACAGCAAAACTCAAGCCTTACCTGAGAACTGGGGATCAGAGCTTTCCACCAGTGGCCACCCTTCACCAAGTCCACCTCACACAGAGGCACCGCCACTTTCCCAATCACACAGTGGCGGGAGAATTTGTCAAAATCCACCACAGTGAGCAGCAGGGTCCTCCTCTGGGCTTCTAGGAAGGGGATCTCGAAGGTGTAGCGTTCCTCAAACACAGGCTTCTGGGTCTTGCGTTTGACTCCTGTCTGCTTGGAGTTCTTCTGGTCAGGCAGGAGGCAGATCTTGACATAGGGGTTGGAGTGGGCCATGTCCTGGCGAGAGCCATCATGAGAGATGGGGGGTGGCAGGTCCCGGGCCTCAATCACCCTTACGGTGAGGTGGTTGTGCAGCAGGTCATACTGTGTGCTGAAGTGCAGCATGCCCAGCTGGAACTTGGACATGATCTCCTCATCAGTCAGCGAGTCCACATCATCAAGGTTTGAATCAAGGGAGTAAAGTCTGGGCTCAAACTTCCTGAAGTAGTCATCAGGGGTGTAGGTCCGGCGCAGCACCGATGGCTGGATGGGCTCCTTCTTGGCACTGAGAACCCCAAACTCAATAGGTTTGATGTCAATGAGTGGGGAGCTGGGGCGCCGGGAATCCAGACCTAAACAGCCACCAAGAACAATGATCACCACCACCGGCCACCTGGTAACATCAGTAAAGTTCCCCAGATGCCCATGCGGGCTCCTCTGCTTCAATGGACTCTTCTGTGCACACTGGAAGTGCAGGTGTTCCATGAGCTTTGGAATCCATTTCAGGACCTCTGACACACCCAAGCCCTCAGATGCTCAAAGCCCTTACTTGAAACAACGTAGCGGCTGGCAAGATGGTTCAGTAGGAAAATGCACTTGCTACCAAGTCTGGGGACCTAAGTTCAATACCCATGTGGTGGAAAGAAAGAACCAAAATTGTCCTCTGACCTCCACATATGTACCATAGTGTGCACCTTCACACATGCACACATGCACATACACACCCACACAAATAAATAAATGCAAAAGAACAATATATAAACTACACATCCATGTATGTCCATGCATGTCCAACCTGAAGCCCACAGGCAACATGTACCCCAGACTAGCTATGAATGTAGTTCAATACACTTGTAGATGACATTGCATTCCAGTATCAAAAGGCTGGGTACCCCTGCACTGTCTCCAAATAGATTAAAGTGCTGAGTACAATATAAATGCAACAGAATGAAACTTTCTACATTCTTCCTTTTCCTGTAGTGAGGTGGATTCAGCCTAGGACTTCATGCATCTAGGCAAGGCTCTACCACTGAGCTGTAGGCCTGGGCCTCTCTTTAATTTTCATTTTAAGATAGGGTATCACCAGACTACTTTGAACTCATAATCCCCCTGCTTCAGCCTCTTGAGTAGCTAGGCTTATAGGCCAGCACCACAATATGGCTATTACATTATATTGTTTAGGTAATAAAGACATGAAAAGAAAGTCTGTGTTAAGTATACACACAAACACACACACAATCTTTTTTCTTGGCTCTTTGAGACAGGATTTTGCTAAGTAGCCCCCAATGGCCTGGGATTCACTATGTAACTTGGGCTGGTCTTGAATTCACAATTCTTCCACCTTAGGCTCCAAGTGTTGGGATGCAGAATGTGTGCGCATGGATAGATAATTGTATTCTTATTTATTGTGAAAGGTGGTGGCTAGGAGCATCCCACTGCAATCATCAGAGCAGCTCAGTGCCAGGTAATACTCTAAATGGATGACATGTCCTAGGTCACCTGATGTTTACAGTCCCTGGATTATTAGATGATTATTATTATTATCTACCTTATAGATGAAGGGATAAACTGGAGTGCCTTCCAGAGCCCTGCACTTGCAAGTGCAAGAACCAAGAGGGAAGTATACCCTCCCCATCCGAGGTGCAGCACTTCCCCACTTTTGAGGGTGAACCCAAGGGCCAGTGTGCCCGGGTGAAAGCCCAATTAGCCTATAAACAGATGGACAGTGTCTATAGGCACAACAAACAGCCCCTTGGTTTCCCTATTTCAAGCCCTTACATTTCTTTTCCTGTTTCCATGACCCCGAGAATAAGCACTGCTGTTTTGAGACAGGATATTATGCTGTAGCTCAGGCTGTCCTGGAACTCAATCTACTCCAGGCTGTCCTAGATTCTCTTGCTTCAGACTCACAAATGCTGGGATTTCTGACACAAGCCATCATCATCAGCTAGCTTTTTTCCCTGTACTAAGAGACTGCCCCCCCCATCCCAACTGTCTCCAGGCACTTACTGGAGATTCTTCGAGTCAGGCTGTAGGTGGACTTGGATGTGTCTGAAGACGAGCGTCTCCCATCTGGGGAGTTAGTCCTTGGGGTCAATGGGACATCACTGGCTGTGTGGACCGAGTCACCATCCTTGTCATTGCTCCGGCTGGCCATCCTAGAGGAGGAGAAGGGGTTTCAGTAGCTGCTGAGGCAACCCCCACCGGAGTTCCACCTGGGCCTCCACAGGCTCTCTGCATTCTCCCATGGTTCACCTTTCCTAAATCATGAGCAAACGCTCTGTGGTAGAACACTTGTATCTTGGGGCATGCACGGTAATGATGCAGCCTCTGACCCATACTTCATCACTTAGAACGATGGACATATAGTCTTGCCTTTTGCACAAACTGTGAAATTATATATATATCAGCTTCAGTGTTGGGTGGAGAGCATGCAAACCTACACTGTTGCCACATGGGGGCACCACTGTGTCGCGATGAAGTTGGATACCTATCAATCTTGGGTCTGGAAGGAACTGTGTGGCTGTTTAGATGTACCTGAACTTGTGAAAGTGGCTCTTGGGGCTATGTGTCCTTCTGTTTCAATACTCTCCCTGTTACTGATTTAACATCCTTTAAAAATATGCCATCACAATGTCATTCAAGGGTGGATGCCTACAAAATGGTCCTGTGAATCAATGACTTGAGAACAGAAGTTGGGGGTGGAGAAGCAGTTACGAATTAGCAGCATCCATGACTCAACATGATGCTAATGAAGATGAGAAATGCTAAGAAACTGGGGGAGGCTTGGGCAAGACTCAGGGGGACAGATGGTGAAGGAGATGAGAGCTGATCAATGATAGATAAATGATAGATAACAGGTAGGTAGGTAGGTAGATAATGGATAGACAGATACTTTCAGTTGGAACCACAGCTAGGTGACCCTGGGTGATTCCCTTCCCCTCTCTGTTCCTCCATTTCCGCATGTATAAAATGGGAATAACCATAAGGCCACCTTCGCTGGCTGCTACACTCTCAGAATGAGTTAGTAAGCATCTAGTGATACAGCAGTGACATAGTTGTGTACTTGGTGTGCTCTAGCTGTTATTATAACAGAGGTGGCTTTAAGATCCACCCCCACCCCCACCCCCACCCTGCAAGCTGGGTATGGTATGCACCTGTAATCCCGGCACTCAGGAGGCTGAGGCAGAATAATCCTGGGTTTGAGGTCAGTCTACCAAGAAAGACCTTGTCTCAAACAAGTAACAAAACAAGGTTTCACTAGTACTCAAGCTGGGCATGGGTTCTGGGGCAGGGAAGACAGAGCAGGGAGCCTGCAAAGAGATGGGGTGTGTGGGGGTGGTATTGTGGACAGTGCACTCTGAGCCATAATGGCTCTCCTCAACTTGACATTTAATCCTACAAGGAAACAAACATGTCTTTAAACCAAAAAAAAAAAAAAAAAAAAAAGCAAGCTTTGAATTCTAGAGGATCTATGGCGACACCTGACGGGTGAGATGAAGCTGACTTGAAAACAGAGTGATGAACGGCAACAGCCAGGGCAAAACTGGTTGGAAAGGGGGGCTGGGTACCTGCTGTCTGTGTATGGGCAGCAGATGAACCGTGTGGGGGCAGGTGCATGGGGAGAGGGGACAGGATCAAAGTTGGACAACACTTCCTTAAAGCAGAACAGCAGCCTCTGGATGGAAAGGCCATGGCTCCTGGACCCCTGCCTGCCTATGGCCCTGCTGCCCAGCTGCCAAGCTGCACTGTGACAGCCACCTCCTTTAATGAGACCCACACACCTTCAATGGTCAGCTTAAATGTCACCACCCTCTGGAGCCACTCAAACACAAGTGCCCATGAGCACAAGGACTGCCTCACCTCTGTGTCCCCTCAGGTACCCTGGGCCTCCCTGTGACCCCTGCCTAAGATGCCCCCACAAGCTCTTTTCTTGCCAAGATTTTTTGTTGTTGTTCTTTTAACCACTCAAGTGTTTGCTTCAGTGGCCCTTCCTCCAAGGACCAAAACCCTGTCCTTGTGACCCCTCCTATCCCTCCATATATAGTTTTCTTTCTCTTTAGTGCTCCACACTCATTTTCAGGGCTGATCCACTGGCTTGTCTTTTACATCCCAGAATGAACGGGGATCAGAAACATTGAGGTGTACTCACTGATCAGAGGGGGCAGGGAAATGCCCACAAACACTATCTTAGGCCATTCCCTTAGCCATCCTGCAGCCAGCTGTTATAAATCCCTCCCTTGCTGATGGGAAATGCAAGCTCGTGATGGGAGCTGATTCGCCTGTTGATGAATGGTGGAACCCCAGGGGATCCCAGCTAGGCTTCAGTCCAGGCACACACTCCCTGCCACAGCTGGGCATCCCCAGGGCAACCCATGAGAGCCATACATAAAGTAGGTACTCCATATAGGCATGTTGCACAGACTCAACTTGGCATTCATTCTCCTATAAGGGTCCTCCTGGCACTACTACAACAGAGCCATGTAGATAGTGCAGTCACCAAGATCTTCACCTGTCCATGTAACATTAATGCCCATGATAATGAGGGCTGTGTCCTCAGAGGCTCACACAGAATAGGCAGAGGCCGGTTCATCCACCACACACCGCTGTATGGAGACAGGCCTCAGATGTCATGATAGGAACGGCATTGCACAGACCGAGCACTTGACATTTCTACTTCCTGTCTGTTTGATAACATGCAACTGCCCACTTGGTAAATAAATCTGGAGCAAAGGCAAGCTGCAGATACGCTTTCTGAATGATTGAACCTGCTTTCCCTCTTACAGATTTCTGTTCTACTTTGCATTGTGTCAGATGCCAAAAATGAATGAGGGTCTGCTTGGGGTCTGAGGCAGCCTGGCTCATCCTGGAAGGCAGAAAGGTCACGCACAGCTGTTTACATCACAGATTGTCTAACTCCAGATGGTGCAGTGCACAATGCCATAACATAAATGACACTGCTTGGAGTTCTGAAGTGCGCTGGCCTCAGAAGGAACATTCCAGTCCCTGTCTCTGTTTTTGTCTGCCCACAGTATGAACCTCTTTCTCCAAAAAGAATCCTCTTTTTTTTTTTTTTTTGCACAGAAAGCCAGTTTTCAAAACAAAACTGTTTCCCAACTCAGTGTTACAATGAGGCTATGCACCTGCAACAGGGAATCTCTAGCAGTCTGGGGATGAGTGGCTGGGCCTGTACCTGACTGTAACTGGCAAACTTGGGAGGAGGTGACAGCTGCTGCATGAAGAAGAGAATCCAAATCTTTAACCTGGCACTCTAAGCCCTAAACAGGCTGAACTTGAGGCTCCTTTCCCATGACCACAACCCATCAGTGGGGCAGAGTCCACCTGCTACCTCCTCCTTCCTCTCTGGTTACAATACTTGGAGCATCTGCCCCAAGGGTCTGTGAGCTAGAGTCATACCCCCGCCTGACTTCCTAACAACCATGACCCTCACTTCTCCTCTGTCTGTGATAGTCATCAAATGCTATGATGAGGTTACCAGTTACCTCAGGGTCACAGGCCCTGGAGGCTGAACTATTTACTCTCCAGCTCTTTAAGAAATGAATGTGCTTCAGACAGGAACAAGCCTTCCCCTAGCTCCTGGTGGATAGGCAACCTGGAGCTATTTTCTCTGCCTGAAAGTGGTAGGTACACATGCCTGGCACAGGGTGAATGCTGGGCCAGTGCCGTTTTCTGTCTTCCAATTTTTCTTTTGCTATGAAGTTGATAGAATGTGAGTCGAGCACAGCAGCAAGGTGTAAGTGAGCCTAAGAATGAAGCCAATTCAATAGAAACAAAACAAAACAAAACAAAAAAACAAAAAACGGAGAAACCATGTGAGCCCCTGGATCCAGACATGCCTGAAGCTATCATCCCTGGATTTTCCATGAGACTCTAGGCTAGGTTGTCACATATGGTATGCAAGATATGAAGGTATGATTCGGTGGGGGTGGGGAAGGCAACCTGACTCCTACCCCTGCCCTCTGTCCTAGACAAAATTGAAAAGTCCTCAAACCTATTCACAAGAGCCCATCTAACCTCAGGAAGATGACAGTGTCCCATATACAGAATGCACTCAAAGAAATAACCACTGGGCTGGGAAGGTTGTTCAGTGACTAACCCTTGTCACATGTTACTAAGGACCTGAGTTCAGATCTTCATGAAAGTCAGTACTCCTACTCCAAGATAAGAGGCAGAGACAGAAAAGTCCCCAGAAGGTCACAGGCCAGTTAGCCTGGTGTATTCAGTGGAGAATAGCAAGAGGACTTGTCTTGAGGTGCAAGGCGAAGACTTGGGATTGACACATGGCCTCCTTGTGTGCTCACAAATTGTAGGCATGTGCATACACACCATACACCAAAGATCAAGGAGGGACTGCTGTAGTGATATATTATTTATGATTTATTAATGCTTGACTGAGGATTCAGAAAAGCAAAGTCAGCCTCAAGCTATAGAGATCAGGCAGTGGTGATACAAACCTTTAATCCCAGCAGCCAGAAGCTAGGAGGTGGTGGTATACACCTTTAATCCTAGGACTCAGGATTAAGAAATAAACTAGTCTTTGAGTCCAAGGCCACCCAGATCTACACAAGAGTAAATCAGTCTAAAAGAGAATTATAGCTCACAACTCTAATCCCAACATTAGGGAAGTATATAAGATAGAAGCAAGGCCTCAGAGAGGCATTTGTTCTCCAGCCACCCTGAGAAGAGGTTACAGTCTGAGCTTGCTGCAAGCTCGTGGAGATAGGATCAGCCCATTCAGCCTGAGCTAGAGGTGAGAGCTAGTGGCTGACTGCTTTGCTTCCCCGATCTTTGCTTGCACCCCAATATCTGTCTCTGGGTCATGTATTTTTCATGTTACAGACTGCCAAGAAAACTGAGCCCCACTTCTCTGCAATGATGACTGGATAAATGCATTTTCAGGGGTCAGTTTCTTTCTGTAGGCTAGTCAGGTGACCAACAGACTTTTGAAACTATATATATGTACACACTCACACATATATGCACATGCATGTGTGTGTATATTGGATGTATTTTCCCTTCTGTTTTGTTTCCAGTTTGAGCCTCACACTTGCTGCAAATGTGGAGCTCCATTCCCTAGCCCTTGAGTTCCCAAGACAGAGCATTACCCAGGTTGGTCTGGGACTCATGCTCCTCCTCCTCCATCTTTAGGACTAGGAATATGGGTGTCATATTGTAACTGGCCATTAACTTTTTGGGAGCAGGGGGGTTGAGACAGGGTTTCTCTGTGTAGCTTTGGAGCCTGACCTGAAACTCACCCTGTAGACCAGGCTGACCTCCAATTCACAGAGATCCCCCTGCCTCTGCCTCCCAAGTGCTGGGACTAAAGGCATGGGCCACCACTGCCCAGTCAGCTTCTCTTTTGAGTGACAGAAACATGTGGCTTTTAGGATCCAAATGGTTTCAGCCACTCTGCTGCAAGAACCCTATGTAATGGGACTGTCCCTTACATCTCAGCTCTGTGACCACCTACTGGAAATCATGTCCTTGAGATGAATGAAAAGTTTCTTTTGGTACCCAATGATGGCAAAAAGAATGCTTAGGGACCTCTTGCTCCTGGGCTAAACACCTTCTGAAGTTATCACATTCACAGTTGTTTGTTTTTGAGACAGTCTCTAAAGAGAGTTCCAGGCCTATCACTTGCCATGAGGCAAGTGAGATCTTGCATCAATAAATAAATGATATACTATTTTTGATCATCAACAAAGTCTCAAGTACTCTTCTAAACACAAATTCAACAAACATGTTTAGTAAGCACTATTTTTTTTAATCACCCCACCTCCTTATTTTTTTTTCCCAAGACAGGATTTCTCTGTGTAGCCCTGGCTGTCCTGGAACTCACTCTGTAGACCAGACTGCCCTCAGACTCACAGAGCTCTGCCTGCCTCTGTCTCCTGAGTGCCAGGAATAAAGGTGTGTGCCACCGATCCCTGGCTTTTATCATCTCATTTCACAGATCGGAAACCAAGACTCATAGAAGTCAAGCAACTTTCCCAGAGTTAAAGAGCTAGAAAGCTATAGTAGAAACTTAGTTTAAACTCACATAGGCTGACATGAAGCCTTTGTGTTCTGGAAACATCTGAAATTTGCTTCTAAGAAGAAAAAATAAAAGCATGCATAGCATGACCTCCCACCCCAAGGAAAGATGGGGCTCCAGGGGCTTCTAGGATTGCAGCCCAAGATTCAGCTGAGACAGTTCTAGTGCTACCTCTGGGTTCCGTTTGTACCCAGCACCATCTCCTTTCTGGACCTCCCTCCCAGAGTCCCCAACAGTTGTTGTTGATTATTTCTAGGTCTTTCCCAGCCCAGGTCTCCTGGCTCCTCCCCAAGTCTCTGACCACATCCCTCTCCCAGCCACAGAGAGGTGGATCAGACATGTAGCCAAGCTTCAAAACTGCCTTCCCAAAATATCCAAGCGACTGGCAGATGGAGATGGTGTATAAGGGCGCAGGAGGGGAGTGGATTAGAAATAAACCGGAAGATGCCAGAGTGAGTACCATCAGCATTGGAGGCAGGGTGGGCTGAGCATCCCTCCCCGTGGCTCTAGGGATATGGACCTTGTTCAGGTCAACTGAAAGGCATCATCCAAAAGGTGCTAGAAGCTAAGATTCACTGAGCATCTACTCAGGGAAAGCCTGGGGCTGGGCATTAGGACTGTCTGTCATGCTGTCTGAGGGGACACTCAGACACTGGCCCTCCTTTGAAGGCTATTGCCTTCAAAAAGTTCTTCACAAAGAACCAAGATCTTTTTCTGCTTGGATACTTAGGCTACTTAAAGTGTCCACAAGATTAGCATCACCCGACTAGCATCTCAGAAGCTCAGTGTGAGCGTGGCTGAACGGGAGCCTCACTGCCAGCTGGTGCTACCAGCTGGCCCACAAATGAGGGGGCACAGAGAAGCCCTTCTTGGCTATGTCCATGGTAACTCAGCCTATTTCACCCCACCCTCTGCCAGCCCTCCAGTGGAGAGGATGCTGGGAGGTGAATTTCCAAGTGGGTTACTCACAGCCATGGAGGAGTCTGGGCAGGGAAAGGTCCCAAGATCTCCACTTCATCTTCCCTGGATTGGCAGCAGTTGGACTCATAGCACCTCTGACAGCAGTGTCGACAAGTCCATCCACACAGCAGCACATCAGAGATTCTAGAAAGAAATCCCTGAGGCCATTGAGGGGAGGAGGGAGGAGGAGGGTGAGGAAGAGGGAGAGCAGAGACAACACCCCAAATTATAAGCAGTCCATCTGGGATGTGCCCCACCCATGACAAATAGGCACCCTAGAGCAGAGTTGCCAGTAGGAGAAAAAAAAATTTTTTTTTCCTTTCCTATTTATGCACCGTGGGCATGGAATGGCAAACAGAAGTGGCTGTAGCCATTCGGAGCAAGCAAAACACTTGCAGGTGTTTGCCTTTGTAGTTTATGTGTGTGCCTTTCTTGACAGGTGGGTGGTTATTACAACATGGAGAGGGCCAGACAATATGTTCTCAAACACACAATGCATAGGGTTCTCTCCTGGCAAAAGGAAAAAAAAAAAACAAAAACAAAACCAAAAAAACCAACAAACATGCTTCAGGAAAACAGCCCCAGGGACATGCAACTAAACTGGGGGAGTCCGACTGAGTTGGGACACATGCTGTCCAGGGATGTCCCTTTTGCCAGGGTCTCCCCTATGTTAGGAAAGAACAGAAACTGTACCCTGTGACTCAGTACTCAATCATGCCCCAGCCCCACACCAGACTCCAAACGGAAAGGCAAGCATTTGATTAGAATCCAGGCCAAACAGATGATTGAATTAACCCACCTCGTTCAGTGGTTCCAACTGCCCTTTTAGAGAGCCACGGTGAAGCCAGGGTGAGGGGCAGAAAGGGGAGAGGGAGGGAGGGAGAGAGAGAGAGAGAGAGAGAGAGAGAGAGAGAGAGAGAGAGAGAGAGACCAGTTTAGCAATATTCCAGCAACTCAAAGAACAGCAAGACAAAAACAACAGAAAGCAGCACCCTGCATCTTTGCACTCACCATTCTGGGGAGGGAGCTGACTTTACTACCAAGGTATGGCTATGTTTGCAGGGCTGCTGGGAGGCTCTTGGTTAACTAACAGCGAATAAACGGGAAATGTGAGCTTTTCCATTGGATGTGCACCGTGTGCTGTTATGAATCAGAGCGGGTAGACAGATCGTCAAGCTACTCAACACGCAGCCACACTTCAGGGGACTCGCAAACCTTCCCAGACTGAAATAGCCAGAAGCCAACCCAAGAGGGCCTGATTAGCTAAACTGATAGGCTGACTCCCCCGCCCCTGCCAGGGCCCTACCTTCCAATTCTGCTCCAATCCTGCTGGTGGAGAGCATTCTTTGACCACCCACAAATGGGAGAAGGGCTGGAAGGAAGCCAGGAGCTGGTCCTCCCTCCCTGGTATGGTTCTACCCCACCCCACCCTCTTCTCATCAGTCCCCAAGCCCTAGACTCCCTCCTCTTCTTCCAGAGAGATGTTCCTCTGTGGGTCCAGGATCTCCTTAATTTTTTTTTTAATATATTGCATTTCTTTAGTTTGTGTGTGCATTCTCATATCTCTGTGTGTGTGCAGTCACAACCATCCAGGGCACTTTGTGGTGGTCAGAGGACAACTCTCAGGAGTCCATCCTCTCCTTCCTCCACCTGGTTCCAAGGATCAAATTCAGGTCATCAGATTCCGTGACAAGCAACTTTGCCAGCTGAGCCTTCTTTACAGCCCCAGGATTTTTTGATTCAAAACTAAACCAAAAACATGATCAAGTTAACCCACCAGGCAGGTATCAAATCCTGCTGACCAGATTAGGGCAGCTCCTAGACTGGAAGGGAGGTGCAGCCCAAACCTAGGGCTTTGGGGTGAATAGGGAGCCAGCAGGGTTTGTTCCCAGACGTTAACATCTTTTTACTCTTGCTCTTTCCTGTAAACAAAATAAGATGAGTCCTCTAAGGCTGGGGATAGCCCAGTCCTGCTCAGATTGAATACTATAGCATTTCCCTTGTGTTTATTTTTCCAGCACCTTCTGCGTCTGTCATGTGATCTTGGCTACCTTTGCTCACAGGTGACACAGTTTCCTTTACAGACCTTTTGTGTGCTTGGTGGCTTGCTGGCTGTCCTCATGCAGGGTTTAACTGTGCGCTAGGCTAACCTGGAAGGCTTCGTCCTCTCCCACATCCTCCCTCCCAAGTTCTGGGATTATAGGTGTGTACTATCATTCTCGACTTGACTTTTTTCATAAGTTAAAATAAAAAAGAGAGTTTTTTTTTTTACCCCACTGTATATATGTGTGTGTGCACATGTGTGTGTGCAGCATGTGTACATTTTCCTCTGAGTGCTTGCACACATGTATGCACGTGCCGGCATGTATCTGTGGAGGACAGAGGTCAGCGTCTTCCTTATTTTAACACAGGGAACTCAACTCCAGGCTGGTTGGCCAGTGAGTCACAGGAATTCTCCTGTCTCCACCTCCCTAGCACCAGTGTACCACACCACTACCCTCAGCTTTCACATGGGAGCCGAGGACTTGAACTCAAGCCAAGAGAGTCCAATTCTAGAAAAAAATCATTAATTAATAGCAGCATAGGTGGTGAGACTATTAACTACAACTCAAGCTCATGAAGTGCCACTGGTCGGCTGGTGGGGAAACATGTAAAGGTGTTCATCACAGATCCCTCCAAAACCCAAACTCAGCCAAGCACAGAGTGCTAATGGTCACAGACCATTGGCCCTGTAAGCTGGGAGGGAGGTGGGTTCTGGGCCTGGATCACTTCTTTTGATGATTTTGTAATATCGAAACACTGTGTGGCTCCCAACCTCCAAACAAACATACCTTCTCCATGGATTCTGAGACAAGGTGATACCTCCTGGACACCAAGAACCACCCTGGCAAATTTAAGCCATAAAAACTGCGCCCTCGTGGGGCTGGCATGAGAAATGGCTTGAAGGTGGTTGCTATAAGCTGAGCATAGGCCCATCATCCTGGCCTCAGGAGGCTGAGAAAGGGAGGTGGTAAGGGGAGGGCAGCTTGGACATTTTAGACCTTGTCAAGAAAGAGAGAGAGAGAGAGGAAGGAAGGGAAAAGAAGGAAGGAATAAGGAAGGAAGGAGGGAAGGAAGGAAGGAGGGAAGGGAAAGAAAGCCAAACACACACCCGAGGACTGCTGAGATGGCTCCGTGGGTAAAGGTGCTTTCCATCAAACCCAGTGACCTGGGTTAAATCCCAGGGGGACCCACATGGTGGGAGGAGAGAGCCAACTCCCAGAGCTGTTCTCTTACTGTCCCTCATGCCCTGTGCAGTCCTCCCCAGTCCTCCGGGTTCCCCCAGTCACCACAAAGTGAAAAGTTTAATGTAAAACAATGCTTTCCAAGCACCTGTGGCATTCTAGCAATTTACAGGTGTGTTCTCGGGGCACAGGTGGTCCAAAGAGACCCACCTGGCCATTTATACAGCCATGGTGAGGAGAAAGCTGCCAGAGGGTGCACAGCCTCTCAAAGCTCAGGTAAGAGATGGTGGCCCAGGAGCAACCCAAGACAGGGACAAAGGGATGGGAAAGAGGCCCTGAGGTCCCCTGGGCTCACTCTTCTGATACCAGTGGAGAACTGATTCCAGCCAGGAAGCATAAAGAGAAAACCCCAGGTATCCCACACAGAGGTCGGCAGACTCTGGGCTCTCAGCCCCATGGTAGGCCACTACCCAGTCCTTCAGCAAAGGATTCCTGATTTGTTTGTTCTTTTGGTTTTTCAAGACAGGGTTTCTCTGTGTGTCCCTGGCTGTCCTGGAACTAGCTCTGTAGACCAGGCTGTCCTGAAACTCATAGAGATCCACCTGCCTCTGCCTCTGGAGAGCTGAGAATAAAAGCTTGAGCAACTACAGCCCAGTGGACTTGTGTATTTCTAAATGGCCGTGAAACATCACAGATGACTATTTCCTGACTTTCAGAAAGTCTCTGAAACTCACTGACCAAAACAAAGCTTTGTGGGTTCATAGCCATGCCCACTCTCTGACCTCCCTCTGTGCTTGCTTTAGTACTGTTTTCCCAATTGAAAGGTTGTGGCAGAAGGAAAATATTACTCTCTGTGTTCTGCAGAAGTTCAAAGACTGCTTCTAAGAGGGAAGCCAGAACCATTGAGATGCACGACTTAGACATCCCTGTCTTAGCTTACAGTTCAGATCCCACCGTGACTGCTAAATAGCTGCGTGACCTTGGCAAGTGACTTAACTTCTCTGGGCTGAAATATGGTTTAGGTAGCTGAGCAGTGACCTACCACTGTAATTCCAGCACTCAGAAGACAGAGGCAAGAGAATCACAAGGCTAGCCTGGCTATGCAGTAAGCGCCTGTCTCAGAAAAAGAAAATGTATTAATTCGATGAAGAACCATAAAAACTTGTTTCACTGTTCTCTGCTCACTCCCTTGGGCATCAGAGGGGCAGGGACTGTGACCTATGTCCTCTATGCTATTCCTTAATTGTCATCCTGGTGTCGTTGAGTAACTATTGAATAGTATCCCTACAACTTCCAAGACACAGTAGATATACAGTAAGTGTGACCTTCATTGAACTTGAAACCAGGACCTAGGCAATCCATGAAAATTTTGCAAACCATTCCTGGGGATCAAAGCCAGAGAAGAGGGTTAGGTTCCACCAGGTAGCAGACCACCTGAGGAGCAGGGGACAAGGGAGCAGAGGAGCCCTAGGTGGTCTGCAGTCGTCGTCCCCCCTCCCCCCCCCCAGCTGAGGCTGGGAGATGAAAGATGAGTTCCTGGACCTGGGAGCCACTCTGCTCCCTTCCTCTCAGGCTAATAGCAGGCAGTCCTAGAACCCCGCAGCTCCTTGGAGGATCTGTTTGAGGGTCTGACCTCGTGACCTTGGCGACGACCTGTCATCACTTCTCAATTTGTAAAAAGAAACGGGTTTCTTTGCCAAGCAGAACAGTTCATTCCCACCAGCCCCCTCCAAAGCTGTGTGTGTCGAGGGCGGGGTGGGGGTTACTTGGAAATTCCGTCTGGGAGTCTTGGGGGCACTCTATGAGAGGGATGGGGGAATGGGGGTCCTGCACTTCTCAGATCTCAATGGACAGAAGTAACCGTCTCCACAGCCCTCATCAGAGTGCTCTGGCCCCTGGATGTCCCCACCCCTCTGCACCCAGTGCCGGGGCGAACGACGTCCTTGTCCCTCCAGGTCTGAACAGCTGCCTCCAGCTGGCTCCACCGGCCAATTAGCCCGAGCCGTCACCACGGCAACGGGCGCTGGCGGGCCGGGTGGCTGGCGCGCCCCGGGCCGCCCTCCTCCAGCCCCTCCCCTGGGGCGAGCCAGGGGGACGGGGGTGGGGGCGTTCAAAGTCACCCCCACGATCTCCCCTTCCAGGGAGGCGAGCGCGAGGATGCAGGTCCCACTCAGGGTCCTCCATATCAGATCAGAGGTCCTCTGCCCTAGCTCGAGGACATGCACAGGTGCCTGCTCTGGGGCACCCGGTTTTTTTTTTTTTTTTTTTTTTTTTTTTTTGTGGGATTTGTGGGGTTTTTTTTTTCCTCCAGTAAGTTTGTGGGAGCCGGCTGGTGCGCACTCCCGCGTTGCGCGCTCCCGGCGGAGGGGGCGCGGTCCCCACTATCCCCTGGCGGTTGTGCCCCCAGCCACAGTCCTACCTGGATGTACGCCATCTTCGCCCGCACTCACTCACTCCGGCCCGGGCATGGCGTCGCCACAGCCCCTTTGCCCTCGCCAGCACGGCGAGGTGGCACAGCCAGCCGGCAAGACACCAGTGGGCGGCCGGGTGGCCCCAGACGTGACTGGCCTGACTGATGAGCGGTGCCCGCCCCTCCACCGGCCGCCCCGTCCTTGCCCAGCCTTGCGGGGCCGCCTCCCTGGAGCGCAGAACCGGGATGCCCCGAGGTCCCCGGCTTCAGCTTCTGGTGAACAAGCACCCACACCCACACCTTGGGGCGCTCCCGGGTTGCAATAAAGCTGGGGCGCCTGGCCAGGAAGTCCTGGGCGAGCCGCGGGGACTGCGGCGACCCCGGAGCAGGCGGGGCTGGCGACGCCAGGGCCCAAGCGCGGGAGGCGGGGGGGAGGGGATAAGGACCGTGAAGGGGTGGGCGGAGGCGGTGCCCGGGTCAGCGCTGCCGGCAGGCGCTTGAGTAGTACTGATCCGCTGCCTGATAGACAGCAGGGCTTCCGGGGGGAGCTGAGAGGCTGAGGTGATACCGGAAAGCCCGCTGTGAGGTCTGGAGTTGGAAGGTCCCCTTGGCTGAAGTTTTATGGCAGCCGCACCCGACGCGCCTAGAACTCGGCTGGGGAGCGTGTAGAAGCTGAAGGGCAGGCGCCACC